ACAAGTTTGTCAGTTTAGTAGGCAGCTTTGCCTGCATTCCGCTGGTCTTCATCTATCCTGTAAGAACCTCCCCCGCTTCTTGTCAACTCACTGCTAACGAAATTCAGCCTTTGCTTCACTACCGTGCTGTCGCACGAACAACAACTGCACGTGTGCTGGACGTAACACTCTGCATTATCGGTGCAGTTGGCATGGTGTATACAACAACTCTCACTATCCAAAGCTGGATCCACGGTGGTGGTCCTAAAGCGCCTGGCTACTGCGACGGTCGGTAGTCGATGTCTCCTACTCGCAAATTGACTCGTCTCTTGTTTCGCATTCCATATAGCATTTTAGCGATGTACATAAGCATCAATCTTTGGGTGTACCTCGTCATAGAAGTGGCGCTACGCAGGCTGGGGTTTAGGGTGTACTTGGAAAGCGATCTATCACACGCGCATACCCGGATGAATAGAAGCGACGAGGCTCAGGTCTATCCGTTGTATCAATGTAGAACCAGACTAGTCTCTTCTTTGCTTTTCGACCTCAGCTGCAGCGTGACATAGTTGTGAGTACATGACATGTGCTGTGTTATCGTGTTGTATGCATCCGTCTGGCATCAATACGGCGGATAGCATCTGAAACGGCGTAGGGCGAATAGTGTCAATATTTCTCCGAAGATGCAGCGGATACCTAGCTGGGGACTAGGGCTCAGATACGAGGCGATTCAATACTCGCGCAAAATATTTGGCGAGTAGGATACGAGAGATGTACATGCAGGGCGCGGAAACACCGGAATCAGGAATCGGCACAAATGCAACGGCATAACTGGTGTCAAGGCGTGCATGTGCGGCTGATGCTCGTATACGCCACTTGTGGTGGTGGGGTTTCAGATGCCGTCTGTTGTGGGATGGATGGCAATTTGGAGGCGGTCAAGAGAATCGAACTGCTAAGGCATCCAGACGTTCCCAACGGACGCAGGCAAAGCGTTGTCGTCGGCACGCTTTCCTATAGCTGAGCTCACACATGCAGGTAGGTAGAATAAGCTTTTGCCAGAGCGGAACAAGCGCGTAGCAGCCACAAGGTGCTCACCGTTGTTCCACTCCCCGCCATTCCAGTTGAGCAAGTGTACACGCCCCGAAGTCTCAGCTTGATCCTACACGTTTGTGATTACAGTGTGTGATTCGTTCGCAGCGTCAGCCACGGCAGCTCAGAAGCGTTCTCTGGCTCCTTCGAGGTGTGCATTGCTGCCGCTCTTGCGTGAGATGCAGACTTGCGAAGCCAGACGGCATGTTGCTTCTCACCGTCTGATTGAGACACATTACACGGTGGGGAGCACATTGCGGGTAAAGTTCCGCCGTTAGTGGGACGGATGGTGCAGCTAGCGACTGGGTTCCACCCATATCCCATATTTTGTTTTGCCTTGTCGGTTTTCTTCAAGCTGCTGCTGCCGACCCTGTGGCAGAAGATCCTCAAACAGAGTTTACAGACGTCAAGTAGTGACGCACGGCGATAATTCCAAATTGAGAGCCGTACCCGCGCTGACGTAGCGAATCCGTGGTATTGAATGATGAGAGCAGAATTAGCAACAAATCCATAAGCATAATCATTAGGACACCTGAACGCCTCCGGTACGGCGATGGCGGCGCCCGTCAGGACACGAGAGGCATAGTGGCCGTACTGTAGCATTGAGAGGAGAAAGATTCTGGCATCTTGACATGAAAATAGTATAGGAACGGGTCTAGCGTTGCTATTTTGGAGGTGCTGCGCCTCTTGGTCCCTGAGAAACGATGTATAGCGGGCGATCAGGTCAGGAACAGCAACGGAGACTACTGGCTGCATTCATCGCGGAAGCCGATGGACAAGGATGATTCCGAGAAACATGACGAAATAGGGGACGACGAGGGACGGGCAGTGGGATGCATGGGCGTGTCGACGAAAAGGCCGTAGTCGCGAGTCGCAGGGACGACAAGCAGGCAGATTCAAGGGTGGTAGAGCGGCGTCACAGATGACTGCGATACGCTGCATTGGCGAGGCTAGACAAGGTCGAGTGGAGAAGGGCGTCGCTGGGGCATGCTCAGTGCTTGGCTCTGGAAGATATAAGTCAAACACACCACCGCTCTTTCTCTGCTCACACACCTGTCTGCTTCCCCTCGCACCCATACCTTCTCCCGTCCACCAATTGACACCGACTGCCTTACAATCGCTTCCATTCATATTTAGGACCCTAACTTTCGTTTCGTCGCCATGTGGTAAGTCCCCGCCGCCCCACCATGGGAAGCTGTCGAAGCTACGGGGAGCTCAAGCTGACGACTGTGTTTACAGCGGTATCTTCGGTTACATCAACTACCTGGTGGAGAAGGACAGGAAGTACATTCTCGACACACTCATCAATGGTAAGCTCTCGAGCAATCCCTTCCCCAGACGCGCGTTCCACGGAATCGGAAGTGGTTTGGTGGGGCTGAACGGCGATCACTAACACGTCTCCTCGCCAGGTCTGCAACGTCTAGAGTACCGCGGTTACGACTCGGCCGGTCTTGCCATTGACGGTGACAAGAAGAACGAGGTCTACGCAGTCAAGGAGGTCGGCAAGGTCGCGTCGCTGAAGAAGCTCGTCGAGGAGCAGAACTTCGACCTCAACAAGGTCTTTGACAGCCACGCCGGTATTGCCCACACCCGATGGGCCACCCACGGTCCCCCCTCGCGTGTCAACTGCCATCCCCACAGGTATGTCATATCTACCTTCTGTCGTTGGCTTGAATGCTGACAACCGCAGGTCCGACCCCAACTGGGAGTTCTCTGTCGTCCACAATGGAATCATCACAAACTACAAGGAGCTCAAGACCCTGCTCGAGAGCAAGGGCTTCAAGTTCGAGACTGAGACTGACACCGAGGCCATTGCCAAGCTCACAAAGTACATCTACAGCGAGCACCCCGACCTGAGCTTCCCCTCGCTCGTCAAGGCCGTCATCAAGGAGCTCCAGGGTGCTTTCGGTCTTCTCCTGAAGTCCGTCCACTACCCCCATGAGGTTGTTGCTGCCCGCAAGGGTTCTCCCCTCGTCATCGGTGTCCGAACACAGAAGAAGATGAAGGTTGACTTCGTCGACGTCGAGTACAACGACGAGGGTGCTGCTCTCCCCGCTGAGAGTGCTTCACACAACGTTGCTCTGAAGAAGGGCAACACCCTCCTTGCTCCCCCTGACAAGTCGCTCCTCCACCGCTCGCAATCTCGCGCTTTCCTCTCCGACGACGGCGTTCCGATGCCCACCGAGTTCTTCCTCTCCTCCGACCCCTCCTCCATCGTCGAGCACACCAAGAAGGTTCTGTACCTCGAGGACGACGACATTGCACACATCCACGAGGGTTCGCTGAACATTCACCGTCTGCACAAGGATGACGGCTCGTCCAACGTCCGTACCATCCAGACTCTTGAGATTCAGCTCCAAGAGATCATGAAGGGCCGCTTCGACCACTTCATGCAGAAGGAGATTTTCGAGCAGCCAGAGTCCGTCGTCAACGCTATGCGTGGTCGTCTCGATGCCGTCAACAAGACCGTCACTCTTGGTGGTCTCCGCCAATACCTCTCTACCATCCGCCGATGCAGGAGAATCATCTTCGTCGCTTGTGGTACTTCCTACCACTCGTGCATGGCTGTCCGTGGTATCTTCGAGGAGCTTACCGAGATCCCCATTGCCGTCGAGCTGGCCTCCGACTTCCTTGACCGTCAAGCACCAGTCTTCCGTGACGACACCTGCGTGTTCGTTTCGCAATCCGGTGAGACTGCCGACTCCCTCGGTGCTCTCCGCTACTGCTTGGAGCGTGGTGCTCTGACTGTTGGTATCGTCAACACTGTCGGTTCTTCCATCTCTCTCCTCACCCACTGCGGTGTTCACATCAACGCCGGTCCTGAGATCGGTGTCGCCTCCACCAAGGCCTACACCTCGCAATTCGTCTGCATGGTCATGTTCGCGCTCTCTCTTTCCGAGGACCGTGCATCCAAGCAGAAGAGGCGGGAGGAGATCATCGAGGGTCTCACCAAGATCTCAGACCAGTTCAAGGAGGTGCTCAAGCTCGACCAGCCCATCAAGAAGCTCTGCGAGAGGTTCAAGAACCAGAAGTCTCTGTTGCTCCTTGGTCGTGGCTCCCAGCACGCCACCGCGCTCGAGGGTGCTCTCAAGATCAAGGAAATCTCGTACCTCCACTGCGAGGCTGTCATGTCCGGTGAGCTCAAGCACGGTGTCTTGGCTCTGGTTGACGAGAACCTTCCTATTGTCATGATCCTTACCCGTGACGACATCTTCGCCAAGTCGCTCAACGCCTACCAACAGGTCATTGCCCGTAGCGGACGACCAATCATCATCTGCAACGAGGACGACCCCGAGTTCCCCACCGACAAGACGGACAAGATTGAGGTGCCCAAGAACGTCGACGTTCTCCAGGGTCTCATCAACGTCGTTCCTCTGCAACTCATGTCCTACTGGATGGCCGTTGCCGAGGGTGTCAACGTTGACATGCCCCGTAACCTGGCCAAGTCGGTCACTGTCGAGTAGATGTATTATAGATTTGGCGTTCTCTGGGAAAGAGAAGCTGGGTCTGATCTGGGTTTGATTTGCGAATGAAAGCTCTTGGATGTAGCTTATGTGTATGGCACGGGAACTTTTACGATATCTAGAACATGGAGCGATGCGATTTGCGCGCTCTGATAGCTAGTCTGATTGAATGAACAAAATCTCTTCAACTATCATCCATGTCTTGAGTCGTGAGCGTGTCATGGTGAAATTGCAATCAACGCGCGGTGTTTCGCGATAGCTTACCCCTGCTCCCGATGACACCATTGCACGATGCGGGATCCCTGCCTTTCGGTTGCGGGGCGGCTCCCAAAGTGGTGTGCTCAGCGTCTTGTTCCTGCATTCTTCAGCCCACTCACCCACGATACCCGCACTACCTTGATCACACCTACTCCACCCTCCCATCGCACCTTTCAAATCACAACTACACATCTTCACATACCGATCGGCAACATGTCAGGCATCAAAGGCCCCGGCGCCCCCAAGACGTACGATGGTATGTAAGCAAGCGAGCTCCCATTAACCCCGCCCCCACCACAGCCAACAGAGTGACTGACACAAGCTACAAAGGCTCTGGGCTTCGCATCGGCATCGTCCACGCACGCTGGAACACCAAGATTATCGATGCGCTGCTTGAGGGAACAAAGAGGAAGCTCAAGGAGGCCGGAGTCAAGGATGAGAACATAGTCACACAGAGCGTGCCTGGGAGCTACGAGCTACCCTACGCTGTTAAGCAGTACGCCTAACCACTCGAGAGCTCCAAGCAAGAAGATACAAGAGCTAAAACAACCTCTGCAGATTATACTCGGCCTCGCAAATCCAGTCCTCTTCCACAGGCGTCGTAGGCGCAGCAGCAGACCTCCTGGGCTCGGCCTCTGACCTCACAGCCCTCACCGGACAAGCCTCACAATCCAAGACGTCCAACTCGCCCTTTGATGCGATAATCGCCATTGGTGTGCTGATCAAAGGAGAGACGATGCACTTTGAGTACATTTCAGAGGCTGTGAGCCATGGACTCATGCGCTTGCAACTCGACAACAACGTACCTGTAATCTTCGGGCTGCTGACGTTGTTGAGCGATGAGCAAGGACTTATGCGCGCAGGCATTGGTGGTCAGGATGGCAAGAGCGGACACAACCATGGCGAGGATTGGGGGAGTGCGGCGGTGGAGTTGGGAGTCAAGAGACGGGGGTGGGTTGATGGCAAGTTCGTGGACTAGGATGGCTTATTGCGAAGACACGAGATGTAAATGTATTCGGCCCATTACTGAAATGAGGTCTAGGAACGTGTATAGTTGTCGCAGAAAGGATTTATGCTCAAAAAGCGAATCCCAGGGCTATGGGATGGGCTTGGGCATCACGCACACTCTTTCTACAATCCACCAGCGTTCATGCAAGGAGGTGATGACTGCTTTCCTTGTGCTATTTCTCCATGTATGCTTCATCGTATGCTGCTGTCTACTCGTGTCTGCACCATGCCGGTCTTTATACCACTATAGTAGGCTAGCGTGGATGCGTGGCAGGCAAGGCGATCGCGATGACGCTGGGGCTGGAAGACTATGCGGGATGCGGTATGGACCAAGCTGGGTGCGCGCGTGCGAGAGTCAACCTCGAGGCGGCATTTGTATGCAGGAGGTGTTGCAGGAGATTATGCGACCACATTGGGCAATCTTAGTGGGCGCATTGCAAGAAGATTGTTGAGTGTCAGAAGGATGGTTGGCGGATGAGTGAGAGAGAAGCACTCTCCTTTTCCCGCGAAAAGACGCTAGGCCAGGATGCGCAGTGCCTCACCTTGGAACCTCAGATTCCTGAACGACAGCCCTCACTCAACACCACCTCCATCTGTGCGAGCAGGGCGCTTTCTACGACATCGCCCATCTCGTCCTGTCCTCCTCTTCTCTTTCTTCTCCTTTGCCACCTTTCCCCGGGCTTTCCGACACGTCCTCACCGCGTGGGTGCGCGTTGTCCATATATCCTGTTCCTGGCTTGCAGCTGCATCGAGTACAGCAACGCGCAGCGCCACTACCAACCCGCCTGCTACTACGGACACATACACACATACACAGTGATGGAAGGAAGATATACGTGCTAGTAATAAGCTCGATCGATCTTGAGGTGCGCTTTTGCAGCGCAGCCATCAGAGACTGGGCTGTGATATCAAGTCCATGTCAGGCAGAAGACGCGGCGACAGAGAAGAGAGGTCTCTACGGCGAGAAGCTTCACGTCGCTCTGATTCGTCTGCCGCCTTGCACTCAGCTTCGGCTGGTCCAGCGACACGGGCAGGTGGTGAAACGCGCAGGATTGGGCTCAGGAACAACTCGGATTCACCCAACAACGATGCGCGCCGCCCTAGCGACCTGCTAGACGACGTTGACTCGGACTCTTCTGCTCCCACTCCCGCCTCGTCCACTTTCTCCGCGCCTCCCACCATGTCGCGTTCTGGTCAAAATATTTCTCTACACGCCCTCACACCCTTGACCAGCTCAGACTCGTCTCCGCCTGGCAAGCTGCCTAGTCCACGCTCTTCCAAGCTCTCACATGAGACGATGCACACGACCTCATCCTCTACACACGCGGCGCCATCGAGTGCGTCCAATAATGTCGCCGATACTATCACACCAATAAATACGCCGCCCGAGACGCGCATATCCGTCTTCCCAGCCGACGGCGTGCTGGGCCAACGCTCCACCTACGATGCGCAGCTTGATCCCAAACTCGATAAACGGGCGAGAGCAAAAGGAACGGCGAAATACACCACAATACTGGACAAGGTACGTGATGGTTATACATACATAGATGTGGTCGCCCTGTGACGCTAAGGCTAACTTAACTTGTGTTACAGGGCGACCCATCTCCTCCTCCCGACCCACGCCTGGCTATTGCTGGCTACACCACTGGCCACTATGTCATCAAGACTTCTTTCGTAGGGGCTCCGAAATCGAAACTCAGGATAGCGCCGTATGTCGCTAAGCCATACTCCTTCGACCAACGCATATCATGCGGTCCAGGGCCCGCGACTCAAGTGGTTGTAACGGGATTCGATCCTTTGACGCCTGACGCGCAACTGCGTGGATTCTTCTCCACATACGGTGAAGTGGAGACTCTTCGCAACCAAGTACATCCTGATAACGGCAGCCCACTTGGAATATGTCTAGTCAAGTTTCGCGATACCCCGCCTGCGCGCGGTGTACCGGGCATGAAAGCGACCACCTCAGCAAAGCGGGCCGAACGAGAAGGCACGAACCAGCGCATTGCGCAACACACGATCAGGGTAAAATCTGATCGCGAGGGCCGGAGATGCCAGAAACTTGTGGATATGGCGGTACAGCAAACCCGTAAAGAGGAGGAGAAGCAGCGCGCCAAGTATGCTGCGAAGGCTGTTAGTGTAGCGACACCGACTGCACCAGGAACCTTCGACCTCCCAGCCAATGTTCCCAAAGGTCCATCTGGAAAGGGCGCGCGCCCACCAATACCGATACCTCGAGAACCTCTATCAAGGAAGGCCGCGCTTTCCTACCTCATCGAACGCGAACCGGTCAAGCCCACACTGAAACGGAAACCTTACATCTTCATCGCACACGCATACGTACCTGTCCTTAGCACGACTGTTGATCATCTTAAGAAGCGATTGAAGAACTTTCGGTGGGCTGCGGTGCGATGCGATCAAACGGGTTACTATGTAACCTTCGAAGAATCGAAGCGTGGTGAAGACGAGGCTGTTCGGTGCTATAAAGAATGCCACATGCAAGCGCTATTCACATATGTTATGAATATGGAGTGCAATCAGTATGGAGATCCTAACTATGAGCGTAGTCCAAGCCCAGAGCGCGTAGTGGCAGACAAGAAGCGAAAGGCCATCGAAGAGCGAATAGAACAGGAAGAAGCGGAGGACCTCGAGTGGGAAAAGAAGCAGAGGGCAGACTCGCTGGATCCTGTACGAGCCGCTTTGGATGTTCTGAAGCAGGAGCTCCAAGAGAAGCTCCTTGGGGATATCAAGACGAAACTAGCGGCGCCCACTATACTTGAATTGCTGGATCCGGAGCTCCATGTGGAGAAGCGTCGCAAATTTAACGTCCCAGCTCCGTCCCAGAAGGAAGAGATTGCGCGGCCACCGGCCCTTCTCGCCCCAGGGTTCGACACTTTTGGAGCAGGTACTCCCAAGGGCCGCAGTGGTGGTCTTGGTGGTCGCAATGCACGCAGGGGACTGGGTGCGTTTGATCCCAGCACTAGACGTGGAAAGAGGCCTCCGAAGGTTGTCAATGCATTCGCAGACGAACGGAGGAAAGCTTCTGCGCCCAAGCCTCGTGTGGCTCGTGGCCTTCATCGCCAGATGATTGAGATGTTCGAGCCCGAAGAGTCGGACGATGAGAGCCGTAGCCAGCTAACTCGGGGTACCGAAGAGCAAGAGAGCCGCCCGATCAGCCGCGCTCCTTCCACTGACGTTGAAGAGGAGGTTGAAGAGTCGTCGAGAGCTCATCGTGCCAAACGGCGCCGTCTCGAAACAGGATGGGGTGAAGACAGTGACGAGGAGATGGATGATTCACACGCCAGGAGTTTGCTTGCCCATTGTATTCACAAAGATCCTGAAAACATGGCGGAGAAAGAGCTGGAACAAGTGCTTGCGATCCTTCCCCGCTCTTCGCCTATCTGGAAGAAGGCAGAAAAGGCACTCAAAGGCTTCAGAAGGTTGCGGAAGATTGAGCAAGAGGCGGATGCAATCTTTGGCGTGGTAGCAAGCCCGGTTGACAAACTTGAGCCTGAAGTCATCATCACCCAAGATGATGAAGCACTCAAGCCTATTGAGACTACCGAGCTGCCAGAGACTCTCACGTCACTCAAGAAGAAGGCCACGACCAAGCCTAAGAAGAAGACCAAAAAGCAACTTGAAGAAGAGGCCAAGGCTGCGAAGGTTGAAGTCACAGAAATCGAGGCGCCCGCTGAAGAGGAGGTCCCTGAAGCGAAGAAGGTCGAAGAGGCAGTTGAAGAAGCCGCAGTCGAGGAGTCCACACCGGAAGACGACGGGCGAGCCTCTTCTGTACTCTGGGGTGTATCTTCTGGAGTGCCTCGTAAGACTGTTGAAGATGACCTCAGTGTTGTAATGGACATTGATGGTTGGCAACACATGCTCAAGGACGAGGAGGATCTACGTCACCTGAGGGCTGCCATGGAGTCCATCACCGCCGAGAAGATCGGAGATGCACAGTCTTGGGCATGGAAGCAAAAATCTATCAAGCATCTAAACCGCAACGGTGAGGAGGGTGTCTCGCGTACCGAAACGAAGATAGAGGGATACTACGTTCCTAACTCAACTGGCTCGGCCCGTACGGAAGGCGTCAAGAAGATTCGCGAATCTGAAAAGTCCAAGTACCTACCTCATCGTATCCGCGTCCAGAAGGAGCGCGAGGAGCGCCAGCGCCGTGCTAAGCAAGAAGAGCGAAGCGTCGTCTCCGTCGAAGGCTTCAAGTTCCAGACCAGCGCCAATAAGACATCGACCGCCAACTCACGTGCCAACCGCGCCAACAACCGCCGCATGGTCAACGATATCAACATCTCCAAGAACTTGTCTGGTGCGGAAGGCGATGCCCTCCGCTTCAATCAGCTCAAGAAGCGCAAGAAGCTCGTCAAATTCGACCGATCCGCCATCCATAACTGGGGTCTCTACGCCCAAGAACCTATCGCGGTCAATGACATGATTATTGAGTACGTGGGCGAAAAGGTTCGCCAGCGGGTTGCCGATCTCAGGGAAGCCAAGTACGACATGCAAGGTGTCGGATCAAGTTATCTGTTCCGTATTGACGAAGATACCGTTATTGATGCAACCAAGATGGGTGGCATTGCAAGATTCATCAATCATTCTTGCACACCGAATTGCACAGCTAAGATTATTCGCGTGGATAACACGAAGCGTATCGTCATTTACGCGTTGCGGGATATAAACTCTGGTAGGTTCATCCTCTCCTCTTGAATAATGGAGGTTATTAGACATTTGCTAACAACGATTCCAGATGAAGAGCTCACCTACGACTACAAGTTCGAGCGTGAGATGGACGCTACTGATCGTATTCCTTGTCTTTGCGGTTCAATCGGCTGCAAGGGCTTCCTCAACTAGGGACCTTTACATGGCTTCAACTCTGCCTCGGCTTTTAGCGCACACTCCTTTGCGCTGCCTTTTTCAACATTACACTTTTACAACGCTGCCCTGTTGCTTCTTTTTGTTTCA